TCTGTATAGTTACGCGCACATTACATGTCTACTTTCATAATTGATAAATCGAATTGTATGATGGACTACTTTTTATTAATTTTTTTCTTTTTTCTAGAAACCTATGATGTGGCGTTAAAGAAATTAAAAATCAGAGAAGATCATTCGGATGTAGAAGAAAGGTATCAATTACAGCAGACAAAGGCATCTCGACATGATAGACATTTAAAAACGGTATCGACCGATAATGATAGCGATGTAGATACTCAGCAAAGCCATGAACATTCAGAACTCTTGAAAGACATTGAACCTCCTTCATTGCCATTGGTATTTGAGAACGATTCTGAAAAAAGAACCTCCTCAGGTTCAAACGTTTCCCTTTCTGAAGATTCGCAACAATCAAACTCTAATTACGTACCAATAGAAGAAGAGGAGTCTGACAATGAAAACCATTCAAGTTACATCAAAGTAACTGAAAAGGTAAATGAAAAACAAGGTGGATCGTTGAAAAAAACACCGTTGAAGGAAAAAACTGATTCAAATGTTATCGGTGAGTAACGTTCAATTTTTTGAAATAAAGAAATAATTCAATGTTTCGTTATCATCTGAATGTATTTCTCTTTTCTTACAGCGCTACTTGAAGAAATACTGTATAATCAAGCCCAAATAAAGTTTGACTTGAATGTGCAAGGAAATCGAGAAGATAGAGCAATCGAAGATCACATAAATGTGCATGAAATGTTCTTAGATGAACTTCCTCTGAAAACGATGGAAAATTTTATCAACTTCGAATTGAAACTTGGTGAAGATAAAACTTATTTAGCCAATGTGGTAAGAGCAATGAAAGTCAGCAATAAATAATATGTGCTAGTTTTTCATTCTGTTTTTTTATTTATTTTTTTTATTTTGCAGAAAAAATACTTCAATAGTTTTGGAAATACAGATGGTCACTTAACCACAAGAGCAATTCTAGAAGGCTTGTTAATCAACCCATTGGCGATGAAATTCAGCTTCAAAGGAGTACAGAGAAGAAATAGCAAGAAAAGGTCGTTCGAAGCAACCAGGTGTTACAAAAGAGTACTGGAGATTGGTAATTGATTTTTTTTGACTATATACTATGAATATTATAATGACTTTTTATTTATGAAAAAATGAAGTCGTTTTAGGGAAAACACAACATTTTTCCAAAACGGATATTAAATCAACAACCCAGACTTGGCTAAAAGAAGCAAAAAAACGGCATATTCGAGATACAGACAAGAAGGAAAAAGAAAGAGATCGACAGGAACTTAATCAAGAAAAATAATTTGGATCATTAAAATTTATTTTTTAAATCGTCAAATTTAATTGTTTGCTTTAATTGTTTTTGAACTCATATGTAACAGTTTCAATCAATCTGGTGATATATAAAATATAACACCCATATCTAAGAATAAATTCATTTTTTTTCTATAAAAAGTAGATTTTCTTTCATTTAATCCTAAAATGATTATTATGAAACAATAGTTTTAATAATATAGTTTGAATTGAATTCTCATCACAAAAGCGAGTCTGTTTTGGCAAGGTTGCTTAAAAAATACAAGCAAAGTTGCAAAAACGTCGCCGCAACCTTGCCAGAACGAACTCATCAATCGCGGCAGAAATCCAATGAAAAGTTGTGGCAACGTCACCGCAACCTTGCCAAGACAAGCTCGTTTTTGTGATGAAAATTCAATGGAAAGTTGCGGAAACGTCGCCGCAACCTTGCCAGAACAGACTCGTTTTTATTATGAAAATTCAATGGAAAGTTGCGGAAACGTCGCCGCAACCTTGCCAGAACGAACTCGACAATCGCGGCAGAAATTCAATGGAAAGTTGCGGCAACGTCGCTGCCACTTTCTGGGCTCTAACTGGTAGCGTTCTGGAAACGTACCTGCAACGTTACTATTCCACCAACCGGGACATTTTCCCGGTTGCCCTAACGTTGCGGCAACATTCCTACCACGAAATATGGAAAGTTCCAAGGTTCCAAAAACCAGGTTGCCGCAACGTTGCTGCAACTTTCCGTGCTATCAGGGTTTTTACTTATCGAAGCACGTGAAGATCGAAGAATCGAAGGTCGTGCACTTTTTTCCGGGCGCACACTCAAACGCTGCCAAAACAGTACTGATCTCTTAGCATAGACTCGCGTAATGTACCTACTATACTGCGTGTATATTATATACTCTCGCAATGTATTGAGGACTGAACGATGCCGTCACGCCGCGTAATGGCAAAATTCTGTACTAGCGCCCTAGGGCAATTTTGACGAAATAACATGGAAAATTCGATAAATGTACAAAATAATAAATGTTGCACAATGAATTTTGTACATTTATCATTTTTAATTGAAAGTACATACCTAAATATGAATTTAGAAATTTTAATCTTATTAAAAAATTGATAAATAAGTGTTGATAAACAACATTTAATGTCAAATATCCGAGTGCCGCACAGCGCGGCATTATTTAGTCGAATCGTGTAATTTGTAACTCGCTGTAAAAGTATCTAAATGCACCTAGAAGAAAAATGTAACGCATCATTTTGATGGGAAATTGCCTCAGCTTTCCGATGATGAGCTCAGATTTTCTGAAATTTTCCGCTTTATCCGGGAAAATTGAGTTTAAAGTTTTTCCGTCGATTCCGTCAATTTTTTTCTTGAGCTTTCATCGCCTGTACATTTTTGCGACCCTAGTGGACTGTATAAATGTGCAAGAATAAAGTCTGTTTATTTCCAAATCTCTTTGCACACATTTCACATAAGTAATTTTTGAAAACCTCGTGGAAAATTAACGAGACAAGAAAAAATTTTGAATAGCTTTTTTATTAATATTTTTACCGAAAATAGTCCTTTCCCAGGTCATAAAAAATTATCAAGATTTTATAAAAATAATAGAAAATTATTTTTATAAAAAATATGTTAAGTTTTGGCATCACAAAAATGTTATAAAAATTATATAAAGAACATAAAAATTTTATATTCTTTATATATTATTATAAGATTATAAAAATATCGAGAATTAAAAACAAATGTAATAAAAAGCAAATATGACTTATGTTTGCTATGGAATACAGACGGATTGCCAGCCTCGAAAAGTTCGAATAGCCAAATATGGTTGGTTCAAGTGCAACTGATAAATATACCTCAGGAAAAACGCAGATCTCATCAATTGGTGGTTGGTATATATCATAGCAATATCAAAAAACCGTGCATGACTTCTTTTTTATGGCCAATCGTAAAAAAATTAAAAAGTTTATTCGTAGAGGGCTTGAATTGGTTCGATAACGAACATAAGATTTTGAGACATAGTAAAGTTATTGCTCCGATTGCAACGCTGGATGCTCCTGCAAAATCTGCTGTTCAAAATATAATGCAATTTAATGGAAATTATGGTTGTTCTCTTTGCGAACATCCAGGAAAAACCTGTCATGTCGGTTCAGGGCATAATCGAGTATATCCATTATTTTCGATACAAGAAATGCCTCCTCTTCGAACTCAAGATCGAATGTTTGCCCAAGCTTTAGAAGCAAAATTAAAAAATTTGGAACATGTACATGGAGTTAAAGGGCCTTCAGTTACTAGTTATTTACCGCATTTCGATGTTGCTAAAGCATTTGTGCCTGACTACTTGCATTCTATTCTTTTGGGAGTTAGTCGTATGCTATTTAGATGTTGGTTTCTAACCACAAATAAAGATTGCCGTTTTTATATAAATAAAAAAGATCGCGAAAAAATTGACGAGGATTTGAAAAAAATATACTCCCCTGATTATGTGACGCGAACACCAAGAACAATAAAGCATATGACCTTTTGGAAAGCTTCAAAAATTCGCGAATGCTTGCTTAATTATTTCCCTATACTGCTAAGAGATAAACTCAAGAAAGAATTTTATAATCATTTTTTACTGCTCGTATTTGCCACAAGATTATTATTAAAAAATGAAATTCATTTTGAAGAAATAGAACTAGCTGACAACTTATACAAGCTATTTGTTTTAAAATTAAAAAAGTTGTACGGTCTGCGATATTGTTCATACAACGTTCATTTATTGACGCATATGGCTATGATGGTCAAATTATGGGGGCCTTTGCAGACATGGTCAGCATTTCCATTCGAGGATGGTAATGGCTTTATAAAAAGGGTTACTCATGGAACTAACAAGTTAGACATGGAAATTGCCAATACATTAAAGATAATGAATGCGCATATGATTTTGAAGAGCAAATTCAGTTTCAAAAGAGAATATGATACTATTTCTACTATGGTCAAAAAATTATCAATAGCTATGACATTTAATGAAAAAACGATCGTAGAGAGCTATTGTTATTTAAAAGGCTTCGATCTTGCTTTTGTCAGTTATTTTTCGAGAGTAGCATTGCGTAATACTATTTTTACATCGGAAATTTACGCAAGACAACGAAAGCGAAACAATTTTTACGTTCTTCTTAACGATAACACTTTTGCGTACATTTTACGTTATTTTCAAGTCCTTGGTCAAACTTTTGCTCTTGCAAAAAAGATGGTTTTAGATAATTTTTCACCTGAAATAGGTGTAAATTCACTTCATTTAGTGTCAAACTACATCATTCCTGTGAGAGATACACCTTGCCTTTTTGTCATTCCAATACAAAAAATTAAAGTAAAACTGCTGAGAGTGAAAAATTATTTATGTATACCTGCAAATATGTTAGAAAAAAAATAATAAAAAAACTTGAACGAATCAAATAAAAGAATTATTTTTTATTGATCTGCAATACCTAAACATCTTACTTGATATATATGAAGGTTTTATACAAATTTCATAAAAATTTTATCTTTGAAATCAAAATTAAAAAATTTTTATAAATAATAAAATAATTATATACTTTTTATATGATAGATATAAAACGTTTGTGATGCCAAAACATTGTATAGATTATATAAATTTTTTATGAAAACTTTATTATTTTTTATGACCTGGGTTAATTACAAAAATCAAGAAAGTTGATACATAGAAAAAAAATTAATATTTTTTCCATCGGGCCTGCCCTGGGCAATATTGTTGTCCACGATTGGCAAACCACCTGCGCCGACTATTTCCGGCAGCTCCCTGATACCTTGCTCCCCCTGTGTCTGTTAATGAAAAAACAAATTTCCCTTTAATTTTGGGTACGAAATTATTTTTTTCAACATAGAAAAGAAATTTTACTTACAGGTGTAAGAATTGCCGTTGCAACATGCAGCAGAAGCAGATTTTTGTTGACTCGGAGAGCAGTGCTGATGGTAATTTATTTGTTGGCAGCAACAGCAATTACCCTGGTGGCATTGCGGTTGAAACCATTGCTGCTGCTGATGGTGGTGGTGGTGCTGCTGCTGGTGCTGCTGATGATGATGATAATTCTTATTTTTACGCTGCTGCTGCTGTTGCTTTTTAAGCTTTTTTTTTTCTTTCTGTAGCAGCTTGAATTGCTGCTGCAAGTTATGTTGCTGCTCCAAGTTGGGTTGCTGTTGAGCTTCTTTTTTGGCCAAACCTTTTTCCTTCAACAAAAGCAATTCCAACTTGTGCTGTAAATCCAACATCTGCTGTTTCTCCTTGTGCTGCAACAACCTGTGTTCAGCTGCTCGAATTTGTTGCTTGAGAAACAGCAGATTGTTGTTTTTTTTCTCCTCCGATTTTTTAATCGCTATCAACGAAGCGTCCATATCAGAGATGGTGATATTGGTTTCACCGTCTCCAGTTGTGTCCATGATTGCCTGAAAATCATGAAAATAAATAAATAATTGTAATTATTATTATTTATTAATAAACTATTACTATTGAATAAAATTTTTGTCAAGATTTACACTTATGCATTCGTGTTTTCGATCTTGCATATATACGGTGTTGTTTTATACGAAGAGCACATGTGAGATATACTATACTATATACTACATATTACGTAGGTACAAACTTATCTGTGCATTATACACACATATATATTTATACTAGCGTACAGCACGCGTATCGGTACTATGTGTCTACTACATACATGTATGTACTACATAGTAGGCCTTTTGAACGGTGTCCTGAACGACCACGTGACGCGCAAAAAAATGTAAACATATACATTGGAGCGCGAGACTCTTGTCTTATAGTCGACGTGCTATACAGATATATATATGTATATATCTTACAGATAGTACAGCTACGAAAATGTATAATTTACACGCATGCAAAAACCAAAACCATTGTAAAAAAATTAACTTACTTCACTCGTGGTCGAATTTGATGAACTCATTATGCTGGAAATGTAAAAATTATGTTCATAATTAAGATGAAACAATTGAAAAAATGGTGTAAAAAGGAGAAAGATTAAGCGTACGTACTGTTTTGCGACCGACGTATAGCAGGTTCGAATTGCGACTGACTATGTTTTCGTAGTTTCTACTGAGTTGAGTCTCGTGGGCTCAAAGCTAAACAAACGCAATAGCACAATAGTTTTGAACTTTGAAAGTCAGAAAACACTATATTCTCTTGGTCGAAGATAGCTGATTAGCGAATTTTTAGTATCACTTGGACGCTTGAGCGTAAAACACGTGTGTGAAAATCGAAAAGTGTTCACTGAGTTAACAGAAAAAATTCCATCGAGACAAGAAAAGATAAGTTATTTAAAATTTTTGTTCATAATAAAGAACCATAGGATATTTTCTATATTTTTTTATTATGTTCAACTTTAAAATTATACGATTGAACTGATATACGTTTGATTTTCTGATTTTCTCGGTATCTTTGAGCATAATTCAAAAACGATAAAATATGGCTGCATCATCTTCGTCAACCACCGTAGCAGATGTGGTAAGTGTGACCAAGTTCATTTCATTAGTCATACGATTTAATTGATTTTCACGAAAAGCCTTATTACATTTCTTGTGTGTTTTTTTATACTTTATTTAATGAATAGTTGCAATTTAATGAATGATTGGTCGTTCGAGTTGGTGCGTGCGATGCTTTGGACGCTAAATTATGTTGCAAATTTGTATGAAGTGAGAATAAAAAACGCTCACACCTGCAGGACTCATTACGATCGTGTACTGAAGTTATTTGAGATTTAAGATTAAACTTGCATGAAATTAATTTGTGACAGTTCACATTCGAAGCATTATTAGCTGCTAATGTGAGATTATAATTCGAGATGGAGAATATTTTTTTCTATACATGATTTTTGCCAGATGTCGCTCTCAGAGAATTTTCTATATGTTCGTAGATTGTACTTATATAAACATTGAGGTAATTTTTCGTTCAATTAATTTACGATCAATCTCACATTCAATTGGTTTGATACGAGTATGTACTGTTACTGTGTTCTTTCTGAAATCCTTTTAATAATTTGCTTCTAAGATAAACATGTTTAAATTTTATTCCGCATAAAACACAAGCGTGATCAATGTCTTCGTGCTGCGCATTAATGTGAGTTATAAGACGATGCTTGTGAGAAAATGTCTTGCCGCACTTATTACAATAAGTGGTCTTATTATGCATCAAATTCATGTGTTTTTTAAGATTACCCTTTAGTGTGAATGTCTTTCCGCACACTTCGCAAGTAGGTGCCATACCTTTATGCATCGCATCGATGTGAATCTTAAGATAACATTTTTGTGTGAATGTCTTTCCACGTGTAACACACGAATGTTTAACACCATTATGAACTCCATCGATGTGGACCTTGAGATTATCTTTTCGTGCAAATTTTTGAAATTTGTTTAACACCATTGTGTGCATCGATGTGAATCTTGAGATCTGCTTTAATGTATCTGTCTTGATGTCGTAGACGATAAATAAGATTTTCGTTGTTTAATGTAAGCGTTAGTTTCAATCTATGTTTTCGCTAATAATCCAATGTGAATTAAATTTTTGTTCATCAGCTTTTTTTTGTTCATCGTACCCACCATTATAAGTCAATATATGTACGAAGAATAGTATATCAAGCAGGTAAATTTTCGGTGGGACTGAAAACGCGTTTCATGCGCATCTCTGCGTCCGAGAGTAATGTAAAGAATTACTTGAATATTTAGGAATTCTTCGAACGGTGAAGAACCCCGAAAACTATGCACGCGGCAGAATAAACGCGTGTCTCATCTTGCTAGTGCGAAAATGTGCCGTCGATTTTTCATTTTTATTTTTTTTTTTTGACACTTACATCGTCGTGAATGTCGATTTACAGATCAGAGAGCGTTTTTAATCGACATCACCGAATTAACAAATAGGAACTACTGCGCACGTGCAAGCGTATACTTTCAAACCAAAAAAAAATCATTTTCTTTCTTTTTTTACTTTAATAACTTTAAATAAAACCGAGTAGTGGGTGTTAGACTTCTTTTACTCTCTTCATTCAAATCAAATGCTTTTTCGTCGAGTGCGCGAGTTAAAATATAGTTAGTCTGTGGTTTTGCTTTTGTGCATAAGCGAGCTTTGTAAAACAGTTGTTTCATTGGTCACTGAATATTTGCATCTTTTTGCAGCTGTTTAGAAATTATTATATCATATAATACTCGTAGACTAACTATTGCTAGTTTGACAGATGACGTTTTTCTATCGCGAGGAAAGAGTTATTTGTGAGGAAAAATTAAAGGACTTGTCTTTATAAATAATTGATTTATTAATTTTTCAAAAAAAAGTAAAATGTCCGTTGCATATTAAAACATCAGATCTATTTAAAAAAAAAATATTTATCAATATGCTTGCTTTTTGTTGCATTAATTTTAGTAACTGATGTAACGGACACAAAAATCTTTAATTTTAATCAAGTTCGTGTGAATGTCTTTCCGCACACTTCACAAGTAGGTGCCATACCTTTATGCATCGCATCGATGTGAATCTTGAGATAACATTTTTGTGTGGATGTCTTTCCACATATACTACACGCATGTTTAACACCATTATCTACTGAATTGATGTGAATCTTGAGTTCAGCCTTCGTTTGAAATTTCTTTCCGCACACTTCGCATGTTGGTCCCATACCATTACGCATCGCATCGATGTGAATTTTGAGAGAAAATTTTTGTTTGAAAGACTTTCCACATACACCACACGCATGTTTAACACCATTACGTACTGAATCGATGTGGACCTTGAGATTATCTTTTCGTGCAAATTTTTTACCGCATATATTACATGGATATTTGGTAAGATTGTGTGCCTTATCAGTTTGGGTTTTGCGTTGACTATTTTGAGCAAATGTTTTTTCATTTGCATCAAATGCATCACTGAGTTCACCATCCCAATTCAATTCCTCTTTTACTTCGTCGAAAATTTTTTCTTTAATTTTCTTTTGAGTCTGATAATCGCAACTTTTTCTTAGGCTGCCATTGATCTGGATAATCGTCCTCGATCTTCTTGACTACTAATAAATGAATGCCGAGCTTCTCGTCCTTACATTCGAATTCTATTTCCAAATCGTTATTAGGTCCAGAATTTTTATGATTTTCACGAAGCCCATAAATGTGGAAATGAGATTAGTAAAAATACTTGATCAAAATATTGACTAAACAGTCCCACATCAACACTTACTAAATTTTCTCGACAAAAACTCGAGAATTCGTCGTTTTTAGCATCGCATGCATTGTCAATTATCTTATAATCTTCATTTTTAATTGGGGAAACATCATCTAGTTCCATCTTCACTCTGCAATATTCCCAATAATATAAAGTATTATGCCATTTTTTTTTAAATTTCATTCTCACGAAACAAAAATTACCTGACATCAGAATTATATACATCACTGAAGTCCATGTTTATCACTCAGAACTTGATCAACGACTAATTGTTTTGTAATGATGTTACACATCGAGCTAGGTAACATAAGTGTAATAATATTTACAAATCGTGAAATGAAAGTTTGAGAAAATTTATGTCAACAGAGACACTCTAAACTTATCACTTATTATTGGAGAAATTATAATATTGATCTCGTAATAAACAATTAGCCATTTTCTTTGAATTGTATCTTATTACAAAGAAATTATAAATTATTGAATACTTCATGAATCGAGCTGATGATGTGTCCTATACTTCTTCTCGCATAATTTTTTTCGACGCGCAAAATATGGAACAAATTTAACGTGAGCGAATGAAGGGTTTATATACATTTTTATATTACACTAACGCCAAATACGTAACTACAGTCGCATCTATATCATTTACCATTTTTACACAACGAGCAAATACCGTAGATCTATGTAATCTATGTGTGATAAATATGCATGGTTAGTCATGTAGTCAAATATATATCTATATATATTGTCAGGTGAGCACACCGGGCCAGCTTAACCCTTTAACACCCAAAATTGCAATTTTGCGCATAAATGTTTGATCGATTGAAAACCATAGATTCCTTTCTGTGATGTGGTGACGGCTGATAAAAATATTGTTTATACTCAGTCTTACAGATGATTTTAGCTAAAACCATGAAAATATATTTGCATTTAATATTTCCTGTAACGCCATATTCTCATTCATGTTATTGAGTTTTTGACTTTGTAAGAGTCAACCAAACTGAAGATATAATCGTGGCCTGAATCAGGTCAAATATTTTTGTTCGGCTCTTCCTTTACCCTGAATAATAATCAAATTTGAACTGAACAACTATTATGTAGGCATCACATCACCAATACGTCTATTTTCAAAATTTCTTATGTTATATATAATATGTATAAGACTAGGGGTGTGCGAGTACTTGAAAAAGTTCGGCTCGATCAAGTCCAGATTTCTTTTCGAGTACACAATACAAGTGCATAATTTTATTGTAAGACTTAGTGTGTCTAGATAAAATTCGAATTTTTCCCAAATATGAATTAAAATGTTTTCATGTTTCGTGACAGCTAGGGCTTTGAAACTTTTAATGTAGTTTCTTTCCAACAGTAACAAGAATAAAAGGCAATAATTTTATGGTTCCTAGTCATTTTACATAATTTTAGTTAAGGATTCAGCGCGCATCGGCGAAAAATAATAGTATATTGCCCTAGGCCGCGAAAAACAGAAAAGTCCCAGAGTACGTGCAATTAGTGGCCGAGGCGAAGCCGAGGCCGATAAACACGTGCTCTGGGGCTTTCTTTTTTCGCGGCATAGGCCTGTATACTATTTTTCATACACAGTGGCCCGAAAATCGCTCTTCCCGCTTTGCGCAGCGTCAAGGAAGTAATCACTTTCGGGCGGCTGGTATGAAAAGTTTTTTTCACCACATTTTATTTAAATTTTTCATGTTCTGAGATAGCTAGAGCTTTGAAACTTTTTATGCAGTT